ATGTGGTCCTCTCTGTGGACTGGCTGCTCTAATTGGGAACATCGTCCTCAAGGCCTGGTGGGCCAGGATGTGCTCCACTCTCTCCTCCTCCCCCTCATCTGCTACTGAGTGCTCCGATCAGATATGTCCCTCTCCCTGAGCGGCAGATTCAGTGCCGTCCTTTGAAATAAATTCTTCTGGGGGGAGGGTCAGGTGCCCTCGGACATTTATTGATACATCAATATAAGACACCGATATAATGTAGTACATACCAAACCCACCAGATTTGAGTGCTTCCGACTCATCCTTGTGACCCTATATGGGGTTCCCAATGCCGTAACTCTTTGCCAGAGTAGCTAAACTGAAACTCACTGCTGTGGGTCCATGCAGACTCTGAAAAAAAATTACTCAGGTCCCAGGGCCCCCCCCCCCCACCCCCAACCCACCACCAATGAAAAAACGTTTGTCCTGTAGCCCAGGACAAAGTGTAAAACTCCCTGCCTTCCAGTGGATGTGTCTTATAGTGACCCTGTCGGACGGAGCAGGCCTGCCCGTTTCTGAGACTATAACTCTTTAAACAATTTTTGAAAGAAATCATTTTATTGGGGGGGGGGGGCTCTTGCAGCTCTTTGTTTTTACAGCTCTTATAATTGTACATCAATTGTGTCAAGCACATTTGTACATAGGTCGCCATGATCATTTCCAAAGCATTTTCTTTCTACTTGAACCCTTGGGATCAGCTCCTCTTTGTTCCCCTCCCCTCCACACCCTCCCACCCTCGTGGGAATCCCTGATAATTTATCAATTATTTTTATTTTCATATCTTACACCATCTGCTGTCTCCCTTCACTCACATTTCTGTTGTTCATCCCCCTGGAGTGGGGGTTAGGGGGGTGTTGTACATCGATCATTGTGATAGGCTTCCCCTTTCAGATTATAACTCTTTTTGAGGGTAGAAAGTCTCATCTTAAATAAAAAAAAGAAAGTCTCATTTTTCTCCTGTTGCACGGCTGGTAGTTCTGAACTGTTGGACTTGTACTGAACAGCCCAAAGGATAGCCACCCCCCCACTCGGGCTCCTGACCGGAGTAGATAGCCTATTCTTTCTTTGGATGAATGGCCGGTGGATTTGAACTGTTGACCTTGTGATTAAGTAGTCCAGTGTGTCCAGCATGTCCAACAGGCCAGCCGTCCAGTGTGTCCCCTTCCACCATACCAGGGTTCCTTGTAATATAGTACAGTGAATCCTCACCACTTTGCACTTCGACTTCCGCGGCTTCACTCTATCGCGGTTTTTGCGTAACAGCGCATGCTCTGTATGCCATCGCGACCTGTCTGAAGAACATCCAGGCCACTTTAAAAGACATGAAGGTAGAGACGACAAAGGCCAGCTGGAAGAAGTTGTGGCCTGTAATTGTTCAGGAATCTGAAGAATTCACCCTAGAAGAAGTCAGAAACTAGGCGGTGGATAACACAGTGAGACTAGCCCAGATGCTGGAAGGAGAGGGCTTCAAGGATATGAACCGCGATGACGTATTTGAGGTTCTGGAGTCTTCAGATCATTTAAATGATGAGAATTTGGTGGAACTAGCTAAGTCTGAAAGTGAGGAGGAGACGGAAGAGCAGTCAGAGGTTCCTGAGGATCATGAGGAGTTAGTTGGCCTCAC